TAATAGTTTAGGGCTGGCACACATCCCCACCCCCCCTCCAACAAATCATACGTCTTGCCTAGAGAGAAGGCATGCTTGCATGTGCAGAACGATCCATGGCCATTTTAGATGCATGGGGTGCCTTAGGTTGGCTGTTGCATTGATGACGTGAAAAGTGGCATTTCAGGGTTAACGTTTACTTTGAAAAGGTTACAACACTAGTACATAGGCTCAAAATGGCATACATTAACATCTGCTTTTTGAGAGAAATTATTAACAATTTTGAAATGAAATTAAACATGTTTACTCTTTCCTCACAAAAAACATCAGTAATGAAGGGGAACTTAACAAGCAACAATTAAAAAAAAGTTAAAAACATCGTTTCGGTAGTCCTCTGGGTGGGAACGAGATAAAACTTCCACATTCCTTGTGTTGGGAGGAGGAAAAAACTTGATTTGGTCCATGAGTTTCAAAGGTTTTTAGTATCGGCTTCTACCTCCGCCTCTATCCGAGCGGCTCCCTCCCCGGCCGCCACCTCTGGGTGCTCCGCGGCTTGAGCTGCTGTAAGAATCACGTGGCGGAGGGTAGCCCCGTTCCATAGAAGGGGGAAGGCCTCTGTCTTGTCTGCCCACACGGTCTCGGCCACTTGAGTAGACATCGCTTCTGCTGCTTGAGTAACTCTCGCGACTTCCACCATACCCATCTCGGGTGCTTCCGTAATCGTCATAGCGACTGCTTCCACCATATGATGGAGGGGGCCCGCGTGCAGGGGGAGCACTACGTGAGTTACCTGCAGGTTCAATGGTCAGGTAATAGGGCAACACTATAAATCATATCACCACAATTTTACATCTGAGTTTTTAAAAGAACTGCATCAATGGCTTCTCTGACTTTTGTTTTGGATTTTTAAACTGAGGAGTTTAAATATAATCTCACATTATATTTGGTGGGGGGAAGGATCGGGCAGAGAAGGAAATAAACAGGCTGTTTGAAGATGCTGGTTTTTCACAAAGTAGCTCGTTTTTTTGGGATTATTCCAGAACAGCTTGCTATTTTTATAGAAGAAACTCAGCCATTGTTTTTCCAGTGAGAGATGCAATTCAGAATTGTTGAACTTTGCTTCGATAGGTTAAGGGAACTGCAATTCAATCATTTTGTTAAAATAAAAACAACAGTTACATTTTTTTCTTCCATTGCAGCAGAAAAACCCGCCATGTTATGTTAATCCCTCTAAAGAGCAGCACTCTAGCAAGTCAAGGAAGAAGCCTAAGACATTCCTTAGAAACCCTCAAAGTCAGCGCTTACCGTAGCTCTCATAGGAATCTCTGTAAGAGCCTCCACTGGGATGATCCGAGTAATCCCGGTCACGCCCTCCATAGCCATCCCGATCGCTGTAGGAGGAATAACTGCTAGGGTTTAGTACGGAAAGTTCACAGGGATAGAAAATAAAGTTTTCTATTCTTGCTTTCATGGAGTTTCTTTTCTCTGCAGCATTTCTAAATGGTGTAACTTTCCCCCCCCATCTCTTCTTTGCAAAGTGTGAGGTATAGCAACAGCTGTAGCATTTAGGATTATATACCGCTCCATAGTGCTTTACAGTACTAAAATAAAAGCATTATTTGCATATTGCTCCCAACAATCCGGGTCCTCATTTTACCAATGTTGGAAGGATAGAAGGCTGAGCAAACCCTAAGCCCTGTCAGGATCAAACTCCAGACTATGAGCAGTTTGCCTGCAATACTGCAGTTTAACCACTTCGCCCCCAGGGTAGTGTTATCTGTCCGGTTGCACTCTGAGGTCTTCAAGGCCTGCCATCAATCTTTAATTCAAAAGAAGTGTTCATCACCATTGTTGATGACTTGCAATGGCAGTTTGATTGGAATTACCATCATCGCCAAATGATTCAGTGTTGGCAATCCCTGCCATCAATGATTTGGTTATATTGACTGCCATTGTTAACCAAATCCCACGGCTGTCAGGTGAGGCCAAAACCTGGATCTCCCAGGCCATTTGCAACCACCATTTGTTCAGGGCTATTTTAACTTCGAAAGGACAAATGGTCCTAAGCAGAGGACAGACTGGCAACCAACACCAGTCCCTCCTTGTTACAGAGGAGGAGATGGCTTAAGGAATTGGTTTGTTTTGGGCTGTTCTATTTTCTAGAGATCCTTACGGAGACTTTTAGACTTGTTAAATGAACAACGTGGGTGGAAGCACTCTCGTTTCTAAATAAACTCTACAGAATATTAACACATACAACTGAACACTAGGTACCTGTAACCTCTCGAGGGATACTCATCACGTGAACTGGAGTGTCCATAATCACGATAGGTATACTCTCTTGGTGGAGGGGCATAATCTCTTGTCTCTCTGGAACTTGGATAATCTCGGCTTGAATAACTACAGAAATTAAAATTAAGTTACTTTTTATTGCTGACAAGCAAAATAGCAAAGTTCGAGGACATCTGCTTGAACTCATTAACAACCATTATTTTACCTGTCTTTAGTACTGTAGCCATCATCTCTGGGGGATAAGTAGACATCTCTTCGTGATGGCAAGGGGTCTCTTCGTGGAGGCCCCCCGTAGCTGTCTCTGCCACGTGACAGGGGCGCTAAAATAAAAAAACAAACAAATGGGAGTGTTTCGAAAACAAGGCAATCAGAAGGCATTTGTCCCCATTTTGAGTGGGAGAACTGTTATGCTGTTTTTTTTAATGGAGGCAAAAGTCTATGCACTATTATACAAATCTTCAATAGCAATAGGAAGAAGAACCACACATAAGCACAACCTCATTGCAACTACTGCAAGAATGTTTGGGAGAAGGCAAAGGTTGTTATGTTACTTATAAAGATTTTAATTTGAATTGAGTGTTGAAGGCGTATTTACATGGCTGCAGCATCTTGCATAGCCTAGATTAGAAGAGCAGAGTTGACCCACAGCAACAGCTCACAGGGGAAGGTGTTATGTCCCCAATAAAGTATTTTATACAGATTTGCTATGCTGTGATGTATCCAATGCCTGGAGGGCAAAGTACCCTCACAAACAGCATTAAGAACTAAAAGTGCAACTGCCACGGCTCCCTTCAGTTAAGACTTTATGAGCAAACGAAAGCAGCATTTGCACAATGCTTACCTCTACCACCCATCCCGCTACTGCTGCGTACAGGCCCAGATGGCGCAGGTCTTTTGGATGGTGGGCCCCCACTGCGGGGAGGCGGGCCCCTTTTCATTGGGAGAGGGCCTCTAGAAGAACCTAGAAGACAGCATATAATGACAGCATCAGAAGGACCATCGTGATGCTGAAAGGCACCAGAAGTGAAAAGGGGTTAAGAACATGAATGCTCAGAAGGATTGCCTTTGTCCCAAAAAACATCTGAGAGTCAACCCTGGATCAAGGCCCCTAAACAGAAACTTGCGCAACTTATATGACCGATGTATGCACGAATCTATATTTATATGCTATGGCTATGGCCATTAATGAGTTACAGGAAAGCAGCAAGCAGCTAAAACTGGTAATATGCGCCCATCTTTTAACTGTTGAGCCTTTCAATGATCAAGAACTCTTTATTCCGGTTTTAAATTCAAAGCACAAAGCATGCGTGAGAACCCAGACACTCAATGTTTTACATGCCAATCAGATACTTTCAAGGAAGCTCACAAAAAGGAGTGCCCTGGCAGTTGGCTTTTAAGCTGTGAGGGATAGTAAACAGCCATCCAGACCAGGAGCTACCCACAGCCTGATCAGCATCTGCTTAAAATCAAGAAACATGCTCATTGAGCAAACTATGGCTAATGTTCCTTGTTTCTGATTTTAAAAAAATATTAAGGCAGAGATTTATAGTATGGCGCCTTCTAGATATTTACTCTGGACTTGCTTTTGAAATACAAGTCCATTCAAGCCAGACTTTAAGATCACCAATCTCATCTAAGTACAAGACCACACAGACATCCCAAATTACTATCTGGACTGTGACTTTTTTTCTGCATTTCAAAGTGTTAATAATTCTTGCTCACAGCACTTTATTTACCTTCTGTCCAGTTATTTTCCTTCTTTCCATTCAACTTCTCTAAGTCTTGTATGCTATCAATACACAGGAACTTAAACATACCTAAATGACTGCCTCTTGAAGGAGGCCCCCGGGTTCCACTGCTGCCTCTTCCACCTCTAAGGCCTCTTGGGGGTCCTCTGCTCCTTGGAGGGGGAGGGCCACGTCTACTACTTTCAAAGGTTGGCTTGGTAGCTTGTTCAACTTTAATGGATTTTCCATCTAAAGACTGAACAAAGGCATCTAATTCAATCTTTGTGAATAATGCCTGCCTTTGGGCTAATTACATTGCTAGACTTTCATTTGAGAGTATTATCAGCAACTAATCCCACTCAGAATGCTAATGCTATTTATTAGTTGCTGCTTAGTTAACAAGGTTATACCATTCTACTTGCATTAAACCAGGGAATATTAAGTAAGATTTGCAAATATGTTACTACAGTGTTTTAAGTCATTTGTCTTTTTAACTTCAAGTTGCAATACTGATATTTTAGAAGTAAACATGTGGCTGTCCTGTTATACGTGACATTTTTTTTCTTGTATTTTGAGGAGCATCCCACAAACAAACATTTGGCACATTTCTGGCATGTTTCTGATGGTACTATTACCACTGGAAAAAGGACATAGTATACTGGTTTTTTCACTTTAAGAGATGCTAGAAAGCAACCTTCTCTATCCAAGTTGAAAGACATCAGATTTTCTTAAATTATCTCTTAGAAAATCAATAGACACAATTGTTTGAAACTATTTCAGTACTCCCCTTTTGTTTCACCACAATAAAAACCAGACATTAATTCTTACCTTTCCATTCATATCTCTTGCCGCATCCTTAGCATCTGCTGGGCTCTCAAATGTGACAAAAGCAAAGCCTCTGGATTTGTTGGTTTCACGATCTTTCATAAGGAGAACTAAGAGAGATAGAAGCATTATTTTGTTTGCTGATCTTAAAGGGGTATGCCCAGGATTCACAGAAGCCTGCTCAGAACTTCTTAGAGGATAGGTAAGTTCTATCACTTCAGCTGATCAAAAAAAGCTGAGTTCATCACAGCAGAACTGAAAACCCCACCAAGATGCCTTGTCTTTACCTTCTACAATACGGCCATATTTGCCGAAGACAGCTTCAAGAGCTTTCTCATTAGTTTCAATGTTCAATCCACCAACGAACAGCTTCCCAGGCCGATCTGCTTCAACCATTTTGACAGGCCTTGGAATCTAGAACAACACAACCAAACTTCAGAAACCATAAAACATATAGTCACATCAAACTGCAATGTGATTTTTGGGATTTCCTGCATATGGAAGACCTCTTTGATAACATTCCATTTTCATTACTTGTTAATTACTTCATCAATGCTTTGCTAAAATGTTTATAGAGTACATTCTGAAGTGGCCCAATTTCTTACTATAATAAATAAAAAACCAATATGGCATGATAAAATCAAAATAACATCGTTCTAGTTTAAATATGAACCAGGACTGGTGTTAACAAACTGCATTTCCTCACAATGGTTTTTTAAACCTCATTCCAGAATTGTTTTTCTTAAAGTCAAATCTCAGTCCCTTTTACTAAACTTTTACAAATAGAACTCTATTGCCACAATACAATGAAATAAAATTAATTTCTAACTATTCTGTCCAAACCAATGTGATATAGGCCGGGTCTCCTGCTTGAGCAGGGGGCTGGAGTAGAAGACTTCCATGGTCCCTTCTAGTTCTATTCTGATTCAGATTCATTTAGACCCCAAAACAAAAGTATTGTGAAATTTAGCAGTTAACGTATAATTCTGGAGGACACCTCTATTGAATGAAACCTGTTCAAAAAGAATAAACCGTTGAAGGACCCTCGTGTTTTAACAAAAAACTAATAAAAGCATCTAGACTGCTCAATGCACAACCAGATCGGCCATTCTATTCTGCCCGAGTTTTATTCCAAAATATAAATGAACAGCAAATTCAGAGAGAGGTAGAAAGATGAAACTCCCAAGTAGAGAAACCCGGGCAAATTTCCAGGAAATTCAGTTTTCGTATTTGGTAGGATTACAAAACAAAACACCCAACCCTTAAAAAAATGAGAAAAGGCGATTCCCACGTTCGGTTAGCAAGCAAAAGGCCCGAGCCTCTTCGTGCAAATCACGCATGCGCACCGGCCAAAGGAGCGCGCAGCGTGCATGCGTCCTCGGCAAAACCAGCCTCCCGAAAGAGCGGGGCATGCGCACTCTCGTCGCCCTTCCCCCCCGTCGCACGCGCCTTGAAGAAGGGGGCGGGGGCGCGCGAAGCATCGAGGCGCCTCTAAAGGCGGCCGCAAAATGGCGGCTCCGGCGACCCTCCCTGAGGAGACCACTTCCCACCACCCACCTCTCACCCACTTCCAATGCTTTAAAATGGCGCCTCAGCTATCCCCTGAGGAAGAGCGGGAAGGGTGAAAACCGTTGAGGGGGTGTGGAGGGAAAGCAAAATAAATAACGGCCTTGGGGCCCGCTTCCCGCCGTCAGGGAAACGGTGTACGTGCGTGAGACAACAAAAAAAGGATACCTATATATTATATTAAAAAGGCCTCATTAAAAAAAGTAAGCCGCCCTCGACCGCTACCCCGCATCTTTACCTCGTCCACGCCGGCCTGCAACGACGCACTGAAGAGGAACAAAGGGCTGAGGGCCTTTATATAGGTGACGTCAGCGCGTTCGAACGGGGCTCGGAAGCCCGGATGAAAGCATGGCGAAAGGGAGGAGGCGTGGGCAGGGTTTGGGAGAAAGAAAAAATGGGCCCGGGTAACGGTGGGTGGGGGTGTCTGCGCATGCGCGAGCCTGTTCGCAGATAAGGACGTGTGTATGAATATATATATACCTTGGTTGAGCAGAGAGTTGGAATAAAATTATAGGAAATAAATAGGCCTTGGAGACTGTCGATTTGTTGATTACATTTCAGCCTGGGATGCTTTTATTCAAGATTCACCCACATTCTTCTTTGTGGTCCTCTGGAAGGAAAAGACGTGCAACTCTGCTATAAATTTAAAGGCACGCTTAAAGAATCTGGATGTTTGCGAATAAATGCATTCAGATGGGTCATTTAAGAGTGCTGCATCTTCATGCATCTATGCAAACACAACCACGTAGGTAGATATATTGACATTTCTTTGGACTAGAATCCTATGTACCATTCAAGGAATCCTCGACTTAAAAACAACTGCAATCAGAAAATTAGTTGTGCGGCCATTGAGACGTCATGTGATGGCCCCCAATTTTATGAACTTTTTGCTGCAGTTGCTAAATGAGACATTATGTGACCATGGTTTGTGACCTTCCGTGCCAGCTTCCCATTGACTTTGTTGGAAGCTGGCTAGGAAGGTCACAGAACTAGAACTCCCAGTCTCCTGGTGATTGGCCCAAAGTCACCCAGCCAGTTTTCATAACTAAGGTGGGACTTGAATTCATAGTCTCTCCTGGTTTCCAGCTTGGTGCCTTCACCACTAGACCAAACTGGCTCTCTGTACAGCTTTTTTGTATCACCAAAGCTGGAAAATGTGCATGAAGTTTAGAATCGGACTTTTCCCTGATATAAATTTCATTTTTTTCCCCTGATGTTGCTGCCCATCCATTATCTGCAGTAACCCCCTTTGCATGTCAATGGACTGGGGCAAGCCAGACATTGACCCCTTTTACTCAACAAAAGGCCAGGTAAATCTAGCAGAGGATGGTTTATTCTGCAGATCACATAATTTCAGTGATTTAAAATTGCTTTTAATTGTTTGCATTTTTGTTATTTTTGTACCCTTGGTTTTGGTCCTTACATTTGCCGTTGAAAGTCCTGGAGTTGAGATGGGCGGCTATACATATTTGCTAAATGAATGTGCTAAATAAATATTGCAGCTACCTGTGTCTTGATGCACTGGGGTTGTCTCACCCGCCCCATCCAGGTACATGTTGCCCCTTGATGGCTTCAGAAGTTGCTTCAGAAGTTGTGGGTGCTCCATCACTGGAGGTTTTCAAAAGAAACAAAAACCTGGACAACCATTTGTCTGGAATGGTATAGAGCAGGGGTAGGCAACCTTGGCTCTTTTATGACTCGTGGACTTCAACTCCCAGAATCCAGAGTTTATGGCTGGCTCAGGAATTCTGGGAGTTGAAGTCCACGAGTCATAAAAGAGCCAAGGTTGCCTACCCCTGGTATAGTCTCCTGCTTGAGCAGGGGGTTGGACTAGAACAGAAGTCCCCAACCTTTCGGGCACCAGGGACCGGTTCCGTGGAGAGGTTTTTCTGCAGACCAGAGGGTACGTGGTTTTGTGTGTTGCCTGCATCTTGTGGATAGGGCTTTGCTTGTTTGTGCAGCCCGGTTGCTGGCATGCCGTGGCTCTTGGGGACCCCTGGACTAGAAGACCCCCCAAGATCCCTTCCAACTCTTTTTATGTTGTTCTAAGGCACCCAGCTGTGGGATGCAGAGAACCAGGAAGGGAACGCTGCCCTTAGCCAACATGGCGCCGCCGGCGCCGCCGCCCTGGATCGAGCGCCGACTGGCCGAGCCTGAACGGCCCCTTGAAGCTGCCCTGACTGAAGATGGCGGTGCCGCATCCGGGTCACGTGGGAGGCTGAGGCGCGCGCTCCACCCAGGCCTGGCCGCGTTTCCTCAGTGCGAGGCCGCCGCCGCTCCTGCCGGGCGATTGTGACGCCGCCGACGCCGCGCTTGGAGCCCCTCCGCCCGACCCGCAGAGCCCCCCGCTGCCGCGAGCCAGGAAGCGTCACGATGGGGAGGCCGCGGCCTAGCCGCCCGTCCGTCCTGCTGGCGCTGCTGCTGGTGCTGGGAGGCCGCGCAGGCCTCGGCGCCGCCTTCTACCTGCCCGGCTTGGCACCCGTCAGCTTCTGCGAGCCCTCGGACGCCAAGCAGGAGGGTCCCGCCGGATGCTTGGTGGGTCGCCGGGCGGGATAGGGAGGGGACGAGAGCGCTTTCCTGAGGGGCCGGGACTACACTTCCCAGCATCCTCCGCGCGGACCCCGGGGCCCTGGGAGTTGTAGTCCCACGAGAAGGGGCGCCTGGGTGGGGAAGCAGGGGGAGGCGGAGGAAGGGTCTGTGTGGGTACTGGATACGCTTCCTCCAGGCAGAACACGTGTCTTTTTGAGTTCACACGAGCCCGTCCCGGCCATCCAGGGAAGCCTTGAAGCGCGGGTGGGGGTGGCGAAATTCTAGGTCTAATTAGTCTAATTTAATTAGGCTGATGTCTTTGGAGGGGTGGCCGTTGTCCCCATGAAGGCTTTCCGCCCCCCCTCCCATTAGTTGGCACGTGAGAAATCAGAGGGACATACCTGCAAAATGTCAGTCTTTTTTGAATTTTGTGCAAGATGCAACAACTAGATTTTGTGCAAGATGCAACAACTCTCTCCCCCCCCCCAAACTACTGGTGAGCGAAAGTATTAGAATTCTTCCGTGTTCTTCTTTGTATTCAAGAAAACTTAGGGTGTTGCATTCGTGTGTTGCCAACTATTTAAACCATGTTTCTTTTTATCCTAGCCCAAAATTGAGTTGTTTGTAAACAGGCTGGACTCGGTTGAATCTGTTTTACCATATGAATACGATGCGTAAGTACATCTTGCGTAGTGAAAGGGGCTGGGCTGGGTATGGCTGTTTTAGCATATGCATTACTGAGAAAAGGGTCACACTCCTAGCTATTATCACGTTAAGAGTAAAACCTCTCTTTTTTCTCCTTGAATAGTTTTGATTTTTGCAAAGACCAGATGGAAGAGAGACCTTCAGAAAACCTCGGACAAGTTCTGTTTGGCGAGAGAATAGCCTCTTCCCCCTACGAGGTGATCGCAGACTTCCAAATGCTCGGGAGAAGCTTCTTTTGGGTTGTGAGGTTCTTCTGTTGCCTGCTTGTCCCTGCTTGACAAAAGTTCACGGAAATCATTTGGGGACACACATGCAGAATTGCTGTTAGAGGGACGTGTTTGTGCAGAACATAAAGGACTATTTAGAAATTGTACGCAGCCCAGTTTCTTTCTGAATAGAGCTGACTATTGGTCAGCTGAAAAGGATTTCCAGAGGCAGGCTGGAAAGAAGA